GCGCTGAGCTGGGACGTGGCAAGTCCACAATAGGCGCTGAGCTGGGAAGAGGCAAGTCCACGATAGGTGCTGAGCTGGGAAGAGGCAAGTCCACAATAGGCGCTGAGCTGGGAAGAGGCAAGTCCACGATGGGCGCAGAGCTGGGAAGAGGCAAGTCCACGATGGGCGCAGAGCTGGGAAGGGGTCGCTGGGCATTGTTTATTGCTTGACGACTCGCCCTGCGGAGCTTCGAAAAGGCGACCATGCCGTGCCCTTTTCAGCTTTCCAGGACCAGTTTGTGTGGCAAGGTCCTGTCATGCCCCCTCCGTTTGCTTGTCCTTGGTTTCGAACGCCACAGCCGAGGGGAGTCGAAAGCAGAGCTGGGCAGGGGCAAGTCCGTCGGCGACGACCTGGGACGTGGCAAGTCCAAAGAAGGCGATGATGAGCTGGGAAGAGGTCGGGCTACAGTCGGCTTGTGGTGAGCACTGGAACATGTCATATGGAGCCCCAGTTGTTCTCTTCCGCCCCAGGCGCCTCCTCAGCTCGAAGCAAGTTCGGCCAGCAGGTAGCACGAGGCATTGGTGATCCAAGGGCCGTGGTTTTGTGGGTTCCGTTGCGCTTGACAAATAAATACACAATCGTTTGGTTCACAGTAATGTAAGACTGTAAGTGGTAATTCAGGCAGTCGATGGAAATCCGCAGTGGGCAAAAGCAAAGGCGAGTCTACCTAGGGTCTGTCCTATTTAAAGGCTTACGCCTAACAGCCGGGCGCCGGCCCACTTGGGTCTGTGGGGCGTGTGTCACGCCTATTGGCCTTGGTGGGGCCTATATGGAGCAAAGTGAAGCTATCTGGTGCGCATCTTCGCCCTAGGTTGGGCCAAGTTGGGCCCATGTGGTCTATGTTAGGCACATCTTGAGCCCATGTTGAGCCTATGTTGGGCCTATGTTGGCCTATGTTAGGCCTATGTTGGCCTAGGTTGGGCCTATGTTGGGCCTATGTTGGCGTATGTTGGCCCCACGTTGGCCTATGTTGGCCCTATGTTGAGCCATCTTGGAGGCTATGTTGGGCAGATGTTGGGGAGATGTTGGCTATCTTGGGCCTGTGTTGGGGATATGTTAGAGGATTCTGTTAAGAAAATCTTCCGATACAGTTTTTGACGATGTTTCCTTCCCGCAAAGCAAAAACCTTGGAAAAACCTGGAAAAACCTACGTTTTTTGACATCGCCAACCGCCAAGGGGCCCAACACCCTGTAAAGCACAGTTTTTTTATACCTCACACGCACGAAACACTGTAAATTACAGGGGCTTCAGTGAACCGGAAGTGACGAGGGGGTCCCCGCGTTTTGGGACCGAGGGTCAGCGGGTGGGGGGGCGAGCGTCTATAACCTTCGGTTACCACCGAAGGCCTCCGGCGAGGGCACGGGCGCGTGGCCGGCGCCCGGATTAACCAGGCTAGCGCCTGCAGCCGCCGACCCCTAGGGCCAGACCACAGGCAGCCAAATGGGTTAGGATTTTTTTTTCGAAAAATCGGGGAACCCAAAAAAACAACACGGAACACCTTGAGACATGATCTGTCACTGCATCACCAAAGTAGGCAGAAGAGAGCACGGCAAATGGGTTAGCATTTTTCGTTGAACATCTGGGAAACCAAAAAACAGCACGGAGCCCCTAGACAACCACAGAATTACCTAGAAAAGCCAGAGAAAATCCTGGAAAAGCCCTCGAAAAAGGCATGAAAGGCATGCGTAAATCTTACAAAAGCCTTTGAAATCCAGCGGAAAGCGTTACAAGATCTAGGAAAAACCAAGGGCACTGGCAGGGACCAGGCCGCGACCAGCCCGGGATTCGAGCCCGGGACCATTTAGGGACCGTTCTTATTTTCCCGCGCGGGTGGAGAGGGTACCCCAATCCCCAGTAAGAAGCAAGCCAATACATTTGGCAAACTCTTGCACAAATCTAGGCTACTTTTCGTCACTGCAACAAGGCTCCGGAGGGGTAGGGGAGGTATAGCTTAGCCTTAGCCTTAATCATAGCCTTAGCCTTAGCCTTAATCATAGCCTTAGCCTTCATCAACAGTCACGCCTCATCCCACGAGTGGGGTTGGCGGATTACCTGTAACAGTCAGTAAACAATTATCACTATTTTTGGACAAGGCCTTTACTATCATGCTCCATATTTCCTTCGAACAACTTGTAACCAACATTCGTTCTGCTTTGCATTGAGCTTCAGCCAATTCGCACCGGATTAGGCTACTAGTACGCAGCTGACTAGTTGTCTGTGGGCACAAGGCGTGCTCAGATAAGCTTGAGAGCGGAAAAACATCCAACATCTTCCAACATCCTCCATCTATCCAACATCCAGATAGACCCAAAGTCGACCATTTTGCCTCCAACATCCTCCAACAGCTCAGCACCGTAGGCAGCGCGTCCGGTGCCCAGCGGGCCGCGCTGGAGGCGGCGCAGGCGGCGGTGGCGGCGGCGCAAGAGGTCTTGGAGGCACAGGCGACGCCGGAGGAGGCGGCTTGGCCCGGTTGGTTTTCGGGCGTGAGGCGGGTGGATGCAGTGCAGAGATGTTGATGCTGGCTGTATTCACGCGTTGTTTTTTGAGTACCCTTTGGGTGCCAATGGGTAGGTCAGCAACATCTGATGCCTCACAGGCCGCAGTCAAGGTTCTGGAATGACTTGGTGACGTGTGGCAGATGGCCGGGCCAAGGGGTGAATAAGGCTTTGGCTCAAGGGTCGTACTGTTGACAGTTGACCCAGCTTGGCGCCAAAAACGCATGGACACGACGACAAATGGTTTGGAGATTTACATGCCTGTCACCGCTTGGTTGCAGTTCCATGGGCCGTGTGCCACGCGTCGCACTGCCTTTGACTCAAACTAGCTCTGAGAAACATCATGTCGCTAGTGTATTGCACCTGAAGACGATGGAATCAATGGAAGAACATGCTGCTGCATACTCATTAGCACGCAGCCTTTTGTTTGTGGCTGAGACTTGAGGGCATTCGGTTGAGGTGTTCCCTTCATGTGCATGCGGCATGCCCTGTCACTAGCTCTTTGGGCAAATGGCTTCGCGGCGGCCCATCCGGCGCCAAGCCGCAGATGCTTTCGTGGAAGATGAGACGGAGGCGGATGAGGGCGGGTCAGACAGGGCTGGACGTGGGACCGTCGTCCAGCCTCCAAGACACCGTCGTCTACGTCCGAGTTGGATTGATGGGCCGGCTCGCCTGACCAGGTGTCCAAGGCGTACAGCCTGGTGTGAGCCTGACAATCCCTCATTGAGTAGGTTTGGTCCCGAGACGCTCTGCGTGCTCTCACAGGCGTTTCGTGATGCAGTCCGTGGGGGAAAGTTGAGTGTGGTGAAGGAGATGCTAGCCGATGTGCCCCGGCCGCACCAGGGCACACGGGCCACACACAACACACGCAGGGCACAAGTGGGGCGGCAACAGGCCTGCAGCGGACCCTTTGGCTGATTTGACTAGGTGACTAGCTCCTTTTCGGTGCTTTCGAGGTCATTTTGTGGCTTGTGGCGAACAAAGGACGGCGACTCGAACGAAGGAATGGTTCGGTGCCGCCGTCCAGCGTGCGTCCAAGGTGTCGTCGGAGGATGCAGTGGCCTGGCGCCTCACTCGTGAAAGAGACATGGAGAATTGGGGAGATCGGGTTGGGGTCGGCACAATGGTCGCGACATAGGTCACATGGAACGGCATATTGTAAAACCCAACGACTTGCATTCTACATCTCGTGATCATATCCCAAGACCCCCAAAGAGTGGTGAATGGACACCCCGAACCCCCTTCAAGGGGCTATTCATGGTGCTGGTCATATATCATCTCACTGTCGTTTTCTTTCTCCCGTCGAGTTGGGGCTCTAGGAGTTGGGGAGGGGGTGGCCGATGTTGGGCTCATCTGATGGCACAGATGGGCGAAGCGTCCGCCGAAGGCGGACTGAGACTGAGGCGAGTCGTGAGGTGTGTTCAGGTCGGCTATGGTCTACTCATCTGCTAAACTAGCTTAAGTTTGACAAGACATGGATGGAATTGACTGGTTAGGCCTGCACGTTGAACGGAACGACCGTGTGAGGCCTCGCCGTGAGGCCGAAGCCGACTCAAAACCGGTGAAAACATCGTGACAGCAGCGCACCAAGGCCACGCGAAAAACAATGAAAAACTCATCCAGGCAGATTGAACATGAATGCATTCACCTCACACGTTCTATTTTTGAGATGGTTCTGCGCATTGTGAAGATGATGGGTTCTGTGCATGTGGCCCTTCGCCCGGAACTCCGGGTTGCCTCCCTTCGGCGCACCGAGCCCCCCTTCGCCCGTCCGGAGCGACCGCCGAGGTGCACCGAGCCGTTGGACTCCTACGGCCGCTCGGCGCTGCACCATGCCATGGTGGCGGAGGCGGAGGCGCAGCTGCCGCTGGTGCGGCTCCTGGTGGCACAGAGGGCTGAAGCTTGACGATGCGGTTCGAGGTGCTGGGGGTCCATGCGAGAGGAATGGGCCAATGCTCCCGGAAGGTCCGGATTTTGGGGTGGTGGATCTGGAGTTCGTTCATGGCCACCGCCCATGGCGCCCCGAGTCCGAGGGTGGGAGGACGGGACACCTGAGGGCCGATCACACACTCTCAGGCCGTCCGGTCACACCGGGTCCGGAGAAGGAGTTCAGGTCAAAGAGGCTCGTGGAATCAGGAGTGCCCATGGACCTTCTTCTCCACCGCTTTTAGCTGCTGAGTTGTAGGAGCACTGACCAGGATGCGCCAGAGTGAATTCGGAGGAGAACCATTTTCTCGGAAACGTGTTGCATGCGAGTACACTGCAGGCTAGGATCTAGTATTACGTGTAATCCATAGACCCCAAAACCATGGCACATATTAGGTTGGCATCCTATATTATTTCATCATTGGGCCGCTTTGGATCCACACCCATATTGGCTGAAGAACTCAACAGCTCTGAAGCCGAAGCTGTCTTGGCATCATCTAAGGACCCAAATGCGGCAGATGAAGCTGGATTGTCTTCCTTGCACTTGGCGGCCCAGCGTGCGTCCAAGTATACCATCAGGCAGGGCAGGGATGAAGTGCTGGGATGTCTTCTTGAATGACGTTTAAGTTCTTCCATTCCACCCCCAACTTCTGCCAACAGTATGCCACTCTCAGGACTCGAAACAGCTTCCAACCTCCACCCATAAGGCAAAAAGACTGCCAGCTTGTGTCCCAACTCCAGTTCACCTCAGCCACTCAGTTCTCCCTCAGGGCACTCCTGGTCGCGCGCGCAGACAACCAGCTGCGCACGCACGACGGGCGCTCCACGGTGGACTTCGTGCAGTGGAGCCCGTCGCCCGTGGAGGTCTTCGAAGTGCTCGGTGCCTTTGGGCGCCGTTGGACGGAGGGGAGAAGAGAGCCAAGGGGGGCAGGGAGAGGTCCTAGGTCAGGGGCTGGAGCGGTGCCATTTTGGGTCGGGGAGGGGCTGGAGGGGCTGGGTGATCCATGATGCAATCACTTGGGTCACGCTTTCCACCCAATCACGCTTTCATCGCAGCTAGGGCCGTCCGCCGGGCCGGTTCTTGTCTGCCGGTCCGCTACCCCCGGCACAGGTTGGCCCGGCCAGGGCCCCAAGGCCCATCCCTTGGAGCGGCCGGCAACGGAAAAGACGCGCCACGAGCTTCGGGCGTTGAGCGCGGATCCGCCGGTTCGCGCCGCCAGCCCGGGAGAAGCTGCACGGCGGGGAGAAGGGCTGGAACCGGGCGGGCCGTGGTGAGCGGTGGGTGGAGAACGTAACTGGAATGCAGAAAGTGCTGAGTGATGGGAGTGGTGTGAGTGTTCCAGGGCAGGAGTTGGCCATACGGGGAAACCTTGAGTCTTGGAGGAGTGTTAAGTGTGGCCCAACGGAGTGTTCTTTCTTGCTGACGTCGACCACACAGGGCTCTTGATGTTCGACATGGGGGCTCGTTCGACACGACGATCATTCAAACAATCAATTATCGATTCAATATCATTTAATATCATCCATGTATTATATAGACTCTTGATCAATAGCCTCCCCCAGGATCCATTTGGATTGAACAACCTCTTCATTTTTGTATGTATTGAATCAAGAGTCTACATTATGTAGCACTCTAGCCTCAACCAAGCACAAGGGGGGGGCCAGAGCTCCCCAACTGTCTCAAAGACTGGAACTCTTCTTGGCAAGAGTTCCAAGAAATCATGCAGGACAAGTCAAAAGGCGGCACCAATAACATGGTACAACACACACACAAAGAATACATGGTGGTGAATAACTGCACGAATTCGGGCAATTCCGAGGGACAACGCCATGCGGGGGAATGTCGGGTGCGACTCGCACAGATGCCTTTTTTGTTCCTGGGTCGCCTAGGAGGATGAAGGTGGCTGCTGGCAGTTGCTGGTGCCACTCTTGGCAGTGATCGTTTGGTTTGCACTCTTGGGGTTAGTCTCCTGGGCAGTGATCAACTATTTGTAGGATTGCTGGCAAGCGTCTAAAAATGCACAAGGTTCAGATGCTGTCTTGCACAGGGCACGAAGTGTTGACGTGTGACCTGAACAAGGGATCCACAGTAAAAGCCCGCCAGCGAGAGTTCCATGTTCTTGTTGCTGGGGCCTCCATTCGAGTCTCCTCGCAATGCCACTGCGTGTGGCTGAAAATGCATACCGGTGCTCCAACGCGGGACAAAGAGCCCGACTCGCCAGCCCAGCGGTGCAGAAAAAGGATGGATTCGGGATGATTGCATGGAGGATGTTAGGTCAACACATGTCAGCACCTATATACATAGACTTTCAAGAATTGTTTGCACAGAACATATGTGGATGTAGTCTAGTGAAGGGCTACGTAGTCCACTAGTGAGCCTAGTGAAGACTGTAAGGCATGAGATCGTGAGTTCCTTGTAGACTGTTGGTTGGGGTTGTTTTGATTTTTTCTTTTTTGGGGATTCTAGGCTGCGACACTGGCTGTGCGGGGAATTGCACCCAGGTTGAGCCGCCTCCAGAGCCCTACCAGGGACAGGCGCGAACTGAAACAAACTGAATGAAAGTCCAGTTCTGAGGGCCTGGTTAGTTTCGGGGTTTTAGTTGGGGGCTCTCCAGTGGGTTGACTAACTATGGACCAGCGCCCAGCGCAGGTGAGAGATTCTGGGCAACTGTTTGGTACGAAAGAAAACGCAGGAGACTTGGACCTCTCTTTTGGACTGGACGAACATACCACCCAACCCTTTGGACTTGGAGAATTGGACCCATATAAAACCCGTTTTCATAGTGAGTTTGGAAATCTGCGACGACTCGTGTGGGCGACACGGGCGGAGGTGTTTTTTTCTCTCATGTGTTTAAAGGTCAAACGGAAGGCTAGGGGTTTGGCTTTCAGTTTCACAACTTCCAGGTCTTCGCTGGCATGCCGGTGATCCCTCGCGGCCTTGGCACGCCGCGACGGGAGATGCTGGCAGGCGCCGATGGCAGTGATGCCAGGGCTACTTCGGGATGTTGGGTTCAAGATTGCCAGGTTATCCAGGAAAAACAAGCCTGGCATCTGCAGCTTATATAATGACTGAACCGTTTGGTCAGCCATGCCCGGCGGCAGTGAGGCGAAGTCTACCGGAGCTCGCTGGATGCGCCAATGGTTGAGAATGAGAATGGCTTGCAGTGGGGCCATTTCTCCCAGGCAAAGCCGCACTACCGCTCCAAAGAGGAGCCTACACTTCGGAGGTGATCGTCGAGATTTGGGAATTGAGCATCTGCCCCTCGAATCCAAGATTGTGACATAAGCAACCTACTTGGGTTTTGAAGATGGTGATGTGATGTGCAGTACTTTTTTCGGATTGGCCTCAGCCTGAGATTGAGTAGCACCTTGAAACCGCATTGGAATATCTTGGAATTGGGTCTGCCAGGAGCTCCAGCGACCGCCGGAGCCCTCCTTCCTCGCACGCCTCTTTGGTGTCCGCCGCCCGGACCCAGAAGCGCCGCCCATCCCACCGCCCGCGGACGCCGACGCCGACGCCGACGCGGACGCGGACGCGGACGCGCCGCGCGCGTCGCGCCTGCGGCGTGTGTTGCGGGTCCTCCGCCCGGGTGCGGCGCTGGGCGCGCTGCGCGCGCTCCGGCGTTGGCGGCCGCGGCCCCGCCTGCGGCATTGGCTGCGCGTGCTGCGGCGGCGGCTGCGGTGGCGGCGACGGCGGAAAGCGGTGGAGGCGCCGCCGGCAGAAGCCGGGAACCCCTGAGGTTCGAGGAGTGAGACCGACTTCAGCACAGACCGCGGAGAACCAGAAACCCTTTCGCGCGGCATAGGTGATCGCAGACCGATCAAGAGATTCAAGAGGAGCCTTTTGACTTTGCGGTGGCTACTGCGTCCAAGATGCCAGTGGTGCCGAGCCAAAGTTGTGTTGAGGGGGTTTGTGCAGGGGATCATGAGCGAGAGACTGAGACTGTAAGAGATCGCCGCCAAATTGATCAAATTGAGCCAGATCAGATGAATCAGATGTTTCAAGAATAGGATCGATCAGAAGACTGGCCGACAACTTGCACAAACCCCGTGTGCAAAAGCCGCAGCCATCACCATTTTTCGGTCTGTCGGCAGTTAATGCAGTGGACTTTGCTGAGTGCCATGTTGATCCACAAATGGTGTTTGATTTGCGTCTGGCCATGGGATGAGACGGTCCTCGCACGTGCACGTGCTCCAAAGTCCAGATAGGAGAGTGTCAGGTGAGAAGCCTCCGAAAAGCGGGCGTACAACCAGCCAGAGACCGACCCCATTGTTTGGGGGAGCATACGGTCACCCTGTTCCACATTTCCTGTTAGTGATGCCAATCTTATCTCAAGTGCTTGTCTTGTGTTCACGGAGAAGAGATCAGAACAGAACAGCAAGTGGAAGCAACCACCCGCGGACATCTCAGCTAGATGGGCATCGGCAGTCACTAATTAATCATTCCATGTTTGTTTTTTTTTAATTTTCTCGGGGGCAAGTCAGACATCAAACTGATTGTAAATGTAAACATCACGTGATGTGGCATTTGCATGCATTTGCGCAATTGCTGTTGCACAAAGCCGAACAAGTTTGGTGGCGTTGGAATGTAAGCATGAAGCGTTTGTTTTGGCGTTGGACTGATGGACTTGCAGTGGTATGCTGGCATTTGGGTCCGCTTCGTTCGGGAGTGCGGAGTGCAGGCTGCAGGGCGTCTCACTTCCACCCCGGGCATTCGCAAAGACGTGCTGTAGCCCTTTATTGAGCCCCACTATATGAATTGCCATGATAGAAATGACGAGAAATCATGCAAACACCTTCTTTATTGTGGTACATCGCACCTATCACACCAAATTCACCTCATGATTTCACCTCCCGACTTTCGCTGACCTTTGGCCCACAGCGTTTCATGATTGGCTGGGCCAACGCCGTCCCAGGGGAAGGCGCTCCGACGGGCCTCGGAAGAGCAGGGGACGGATTGGCCGCTTGTGATGGAGGAAGACCTTCCACAACAGTAGGGGTTTGGACAGATATGCGTATGAAGCTACTCTTGCCCTGTTCATTTGAGTGCCCACATTCTTCACGAAGGACCATTTTTCTGTTTGAGCCCGCTGTTGATTTGTTGTTTGTGGTCATGGAGCCAGGGGAGCTCAAACGAAAACAGCTTGAAAGACCATGCCAAGGCTGGGGGTTTGCACTCCAGCTTGACATTTCTCCTTCTAACCCCTCGGCTAATGGGCTTTCTTCACAACGGTCGCGTCTTCACGGTCGCGTGGTGCCGTGACTCGGAGGTCCGCCACGTGGGGTCAGAGGTCGACCCACATGATGGGGGTTTATTTGGTTGTTGCTGCGTGAGAGTGTGCGTAGCTTATGCTGCTGGCTGTATATCGGTTCCCCAAGCCTGAAGAGGGTTTGGGGAGGAGGCGCTTCTTGACACTTTGAGATGAAAGATCCGGACTAATCCGGACTACCCCTGAAGATCGATCGATCGACCTGGCCCGGCCATCGATCCTTCGAACACCTGGCCGGTCAAGGTTCTGTGGATCGGGTGACTGACTTTGGTCCTCAGATTGATTAAAACCTTCATTTCCTGGGACGGTTGTCCTTTTTTTTTCGTCCGTTTTTCTCCCTGAAATCTGGTGGGGTCGAGACTCCATGTGCACAGATGAGCCAGATGTGGTGATGCAGCCATGGGCCAATCATTCCATTCTATATCCTCCACAGATGCAAGCCTTAGATCACAGAGGAATGGCCATGCTTAGATGATAAAAGAACCGTGTGTGTCGGGCCAGTGCATGCTATGGCCATCGGTGTGATGTTATGGCCATCGGTGCGGATCCGTGACCCAATGGTCGATGCGGTTTGTGACCCCTTTGCCCTCTCCATGTCTTGGTGGTTTTTGGTTCTTCCACGCCCTCTGGACCCGTTCCATCCGTCATATCCCCCAACGAGCATCGGAAGGCGGAACAGGTTTTCGGCCTGAAAAGGATGGGAAGAAGAGGATGACGGATGTTTAGGAGTCAGGTCCCTTTTGTGATAACTTGGTCAAGTTCATGCCGGCCTCATGGCCTCATGGGGTCTTCCGGGTTTTCACCTGTTTTCACCAATTTGGTCCTGACTGTTTCAGGGCTGCAAGGGGCGGCGACGTGGTTCATGGGTGGCATGGGTTGACATACACACACAGACATGGGTGTGCATTTCAATGGGGAGACACCCAACTAACCAACAGGTTTTGCACCATCCTCCGGGCATACACTTGCATCTTCACCCCACCGCAGCTTCAGTTCAGAACCCGTTTCACCCGGACGAAAAGCCCGCGGCGGGTTTCGGGACGGACACCGGGCGGTGCGGGTGTCGGGACGGACTTCTCTTCGGCGCCCCATGTCGTTTGGCACCGTGGTGACCTATGGGGTCCTGGATCGATTGCTGGCGAACGAGCCGGTGTCCGGCGGTCCGATCCTGGTGACCTGGATGGACGTGATGGACGGTGTCCGGTGGTGACGTGGTGACCGGGTGGCGTGGATGGTGTCTTTTTGGTTCTTTTTTGTGGCTTGGAGCTGTGAAATCTGAGATCTCAGTCAGAGACAGAGAGAGAGAGAGAGCGAACCGTGAATTTGTACTCTTCGACTTGTTGTTCGATTGCGTCGATTGCGTGTTTTCCTGCTTGTCTAGCTTTCAACTTATTATATAACAAATCATTTGTTCAAACGTTTCGATTTCCATGCGTTTTCCAGATGCAAGTCCCACCGCGGTCGGGGTCTTCAGGTGCGATCTGAAGCAGTGTTTACGGCCGATGCGCGTCGTCGTGGTTGCATAAAGAAGGCTCCAAACCAGCCGACCAAATCCCAATCTTTTCGGCCGACGTGTCTGGTGACGCTGTCGACATTTCCTCAAACGAATGATGATCTGACATGATCTTCAGATTGGAGATTAGATTCATCTATACCGGTCCCCGGATAGATGGCACAAATGAATCTCGCAATAAATGCCATGTTAGTGAGAACCCCCCCCTGCAAAGGCGTCAAAAGCATTTGGAACCCTTAGATTGCACATGGCACATGGCCGGTATAGTTTTTCATACACTAACATGGCACACTGACATGAACATGTAGCTCTTATGACTTATGTTAGCGTACATAGATTGTTAGGAAATGATCATTTTAAAGAGGAATATGAAAGAAAATAATCATTTTTCCTTGGTTTCCTTTTAAAATAATGATCCTTCCCTTTCATTTTTCTTTTAACCATAATAATTTCCTTTCATTTTCCTTTTAACAAATTAAAATTTCCTTTCATTTTCCCTGTAAAAATGCTCATGTCCTTTCATTTTCCTTTTAAAGATTATCATTTCCTTTCATTTTCCTTTTAAAATAATCATGTCCTTTCATTTTCCTTTTAAAACTGATCCTTTCCTTTAATTTTCCTTTGAATAATGATCTTGTGGTCCATGTGTCTGCCACTCTGTATGCTTGCGGCTTTAGCTTAAAGATGCCACTGTTCACTCACTCTTGAGGCTGTTGTTGAGGTTGTGACCATGACTCTTGCCCATCCTTCCTTATGTTTTGCCTTTTCTTAGAGTCCTGTGGTGTTGTCCTGGAGTCACCCATGTGCCATCTTACACGTTGCAGGGTTAGTCCTCTAGGCTCTCCAGTTGATGAGGTGGTAAAATGACCTGTGCCATCATACTCTTTCCAGCCGGATGTGCCATCCATTCGGGGACCGGTATACCTGGACCTTCAAGGGGTGTCCAATGGAGGTCCCTTAGTAGTGGGCTGGGGCTTTCATTGGTGACCCCATTGAAGGTGCTGGTAGAGATCCAACTCGCCCGCCGGGGCTTTCCACCTCCGATCTCCAAGCATCGGATCCTCGGTGGATCTCCCGAGGAGATCGTCAACTGGAAGCCGTTGGATGCCTCGCAGGAGCGGCTGAACCTCTTCGTAGCTGATGGGCAGCCGCTGGTCCGATCCATTCGTTGGACTTGTTTGGAGATGGTCCGTCGCGAGTCGCGTGTCCACGAAAGGTTCCGTTAGCTGGCTGAGTTCCTTCTTAGCTGTAGCAAGCCAGGGGGGAGGGCCTGAGGCCAAGACAGTGATATGATTCTTTGAGCCAGGATTCCACAGTGATGCACTTTTGCAACCGACTGCTTTAGCTTTCGTTTGCCCCCACTGCCCTCCAGTTGGTTTTGAAGCGCATCTGCGTCTCGAATGCCGCCGCGTCTCGAAACCCACCCTTCATGCGCCTCCAAAGAAGAC